CAGGGGGGCAATTCAAGACAGAACAAAGGCAGCTAACTGGCCAATAGCAGAGGCAGGTCGAAATTTAGCGAGTTAACTCCTGGATTAGAGGGGTAGAAAAAGTTGTAGGACAAAGGAATGGAGAAAATGTACCAACGATCAGAATTAGGGGAGTTATTAGTAAAAACATTGAACGTGGGGGCTTCTCTGGTGGCGCAGTGGTTAAGAATCCGCCTGCTGATGCAAGGGACACGGGTTCAAGCCCTGGTCCTGGAAGATCCCACATGCCGCGGAGCAACGAAGCCCGTGCACCACAACTACTGAGCCTGTGCTCTAGAGCCCGTGAGCCACAACTACTGAGCCTACATGCCACAGCTACTGAAGCCCGCGCACCTAGGGCCAGTGTTCACAACAAGAGAAGCCACTGGAATAAGAAGCCTGCGCACCGCAAGGAAGAGTAGCCCCCACTTGTGGCAACTAGAGAAAGCCCGCGTGCAGCAACGAAGACCCAACGCAGCCAAAAATAAATAAATAAATTTATTTTATAAAAAGATTGAACTTGACCAAAAGAGCTGGAGACATCTCTGTAAAGATTTGGAAAACAGGATAACACGATCAGAAGGGGCACCACTTTTGAGAAGAGGACCAGAAGAAGGGAGCTAGTAAGCGAGAGAATGGTCATGGTTGGAAGTAACCAGAGCTTGAGTAGAAGTTTTGTGTTTCACCACTGCATGACCACCTCTCTCCGGCCTGCCTTTGGATGAAAAAGAGTATAAATGAAAATAAACGGGATGCTCCTCCAGGCTCTCAGGCCTGGGCCCGAACATCTAGAAGACGTGCTAGGACCCAGCAGGCGTAAACTGCTTCGGGACTGGGCAGACTGCCAAGCACCTGCAGGATCCTGCTAATCGAGGGGACAGGTTCTGGGCACTCCCTGGAGGAGGTGTGCCACCCACATCACCAGCAGGACGCCTGCCCCCGCCCCTCCCCGCACTCTCCAGAGAGATTTTGAGAAGCAGGGCTGTTTTCTGTTAACCTCAAGAAGTAAAGCATCACCGAAGGCTACGTCCCCATTGTCAGCAACAAGATACAGCCCTCCTGGTGTCATCAGTGTGTGATTATCACCTGCTCTGGCCCACTGCTGGTCCCAGAGATACAGCATATTCTCTGTGCTACAGGGGCTCTAAGAGTTTGTTTCTGCTTCCCCACAACCCTAGAAGATGCAGAAGCCCCAGAGCAGCCTTGTGGGAGTAATCCTCTAGGCAGGCCTGGTTTTCCCCAACACCACAGCCTCCCCTCCCACCATGAGCCAATTTGACGACGTCTTACAGAAGAGTAAGGCCTGCCTGCCATCTCCAGCCAGCCCTGTACACCTTCTCATCTTGTATGCAAACAGGGACCTTTCAATTTCTATTGGCCAGGATTTCCAATACAATGTTGAATAGAAGTGATAAGAATGGACATCCTTGCCTTGTTCTCCATCTTAGGGGGAAAGCATTCAGTCTTTCACCATTAAGCATGATATTAACTATAAGCTTTTTGTAGCTGCCCTTTATCAGGTTAACAAAGTTCCCTTCTCTCCCAGTGTGCTGAAAATTTTTATCATGACTGGTTATTGAATTTTATCCAATTTTTTGGCATCAATTGATGCAATTTCGTGTTTCTTCTTAAGATTATGGACATGATGCATTACATTGATTTTAAAATATTGAGTCAGGCTTATATTTACCGAATAAACCCCACTTGGCTGGTTGCTGTGTAAAAAAAGCAGTAACAAAATAAACAGGACTACACTGTGGTGTAGAATGCAAATTTGTAAGGCTTTTAAAATAGAAAATTCAAAGAAATTAATTTTTTTATTGAAATATACTTGATTTACAATGTTGTGTTAGTTTTTGGTGTTCAGCAAAGTGATTCAGATATATATATATATATATCTATAGATAGGTAGACAGATATATAGATAGATATTCTTTTCAAGTGTGGTTTACTACAGGATATTGAATATAGTTCCCCGTGCTATACAGTAGGACCTTGTTGTTTATAAAGTCATTCTATATGTAATAGTTTGCATCTGCTAATCCCAAACTTCCAATACATCCCTCTCCCACCCCCCCTCCCCCTTCACAACCACAACTCTGTTCTGTATGTCTGTGAGTCTGTTTCTGTTTCATAAATAATTTCATTTGTGTCATATTTTAGATTCCACATATAAGTGATATCATACGGTATTTGTCTTTCTCTTTCTGACTCACTTCACTTAGTATGATAATCACTAGGTCCATCCATGTTGCTGCAAATGGAATTATTTTGTTCTTTTTTATTGCTGAGTAGTATTCCATTGTGTGTGTATATATATGTATATATATACATATATATGTGTGTGTGTGTGTGTGTATATATATATATATATATATAAATATATATGGCACATCTTCTTTATCCATTCATCTGTTGATGGACATTTAGGTTGCTTCCATGTCTTGGCTATTATAAATAGTGCATTGGGGTACATGTATCTTTTCGAATTAGACTTGCTATATGATCCAGCAACCCCACTCCTGGGAATATATCTGGACAGAACTCTAATTCTAATTTTAGTTTTTTGAGGAACCTCCATATTGTCCTCCATAGTGGCTGTACCAACTTACATTCCCACCAACAGTGTAGGAGGGTTCCCTTTTCTCCAAACCCTCTCCAGCACTTGTTATTTGTCAACTTTTTAATGATGGCCATTCTGACCAGTGTGAGGTGTACTCTCATTGTAGTTTTGATTTGAATTTCTCTAATAATTAGTGATGTGGAGCATCTTTTCATATGCCTGTTGGCCATATGTATGTCTTCTTTGGAGAAATGTCTAATTAGGTCTTCTGCCCATTTTTTGTTTGGATTGTTCGGGTTTTTTTGTTATTGAGTTCTATGAGCTACTTATATATTTTGGAAATTAAGCCCTTGTTGGTTGCATCATTTGCAAATATCTTCTCCCAGTCCGTAGGCTGCCTTTTGGTTTTGTTTATGGTTTTCTTTGCTGTGCAAAAGCTTTAAGTTTGATTAGGTCCTATTTGTTTATTTTTGCTTTTATTTCTATTGCCTTTGGAAACTGACCTAAGAAAGCATTGGTACAATTTATATCAGAGAATGTTTGCCATGGGAGACGGACCTAAGAAAACATTGGTACAACTTATGTCAAAGAATGTTTTACCTATGTTCTCTTCTAGGAGTTTTATGGTGTCATGTCTTATATTTAAGTCTTTAAGCCATTTTGAGTTTATTTTTGTGTGTGGTGTGAGGGTGTGTTCTAACTCCATTGATTTACATGTGGCTGTCCAGCTTTCCCAACACTGCTGAAGAGACTGTCTTTTCTCCATTGTATATTCTTGCCTCCTTTGTCAAAGATTAATTGACCATAGGTGTGTGGATTTATTTCTGCACTCTCTATTCTGTTCCATTGATCCATGTCTGTTTTTGTGCTAATACCACACTGTTTTGATTACTGTAGCTTTGTAGTATTGGCTGAAGTCTGGGAGGGTTATGCCTCCTGGTTTGTTCTTTTTCCTCAGGATTGCTTTGGCAATTCTAGGCCTTTTATGGTCCCATATGATTTTTAGGATTATTTGTTCTAGTCCTGTGAAAAATGCCATGGGTAATTTGATAGATAATTTGATAGATAATTAAATCTGTAGATTGCTTTGGGTAGTATAGCCATTTTAACAGTATTAATTCTTCCAATACAAGAGCATGGGTTATCTTTCCATTTCAAAGAAATTAATTTCTTAATGTAGGCTATGCCCCAAACTCCAGGGAGACACGGGTTCTCTCTCCTGTGCCACTACGAGTATTTGGTGGAAAAGTAAAGAACGAACACTTTATTAATTTTATTTGCTTACTTGTATCTCTCCCTCTACTGAAAGTAAGCTTTAGAGCACAGGATACATTTCCTGTTGATCTTCAAATCCATAGTGCAGATCTGGGCACTTAGAACATAATACATAAATTCAGAATAAATGAAAAAATGAATTAATGAATGAATTCACTTACACTGTCATAGACATTTTATATGTTTTACCTCATTTGGAAATCAAAAAAGGATGCAATCAAGAGATGTGAGCAGTGAGAAGCCCGCGCACTGCAATGAAGAGTAGCCCCCACTCACCACAACTAGAAGAAGCCCATGCACAGCAATGAAGACCCAACCCAGCCAAAAGTAAATAAATAAATAAATAAATATTAAAAAAAAAGAGAGAGAGAGGGACTTTCCTGGCGGTCCAGTGGTTAGGGCTCTGTGCTTCCACTGCAGGGGGCCCAGTTCGATCCCTGGTTAGGGAATTAAGATTCCACAAGCCACAATGTGTGGGGCAAAAAAATAAATTAAAAAAAAGGAAGTGAAAAATGTCTGGTAATAAAAAAGAAATAAACTCATTTTATAACGTAGCTGTTACGCTTCCAGCTACATCAACTAAGAATGTTCCAGAAACAAGCAAGTAAAGGATTGAGCAAAGCATATAAATCTCAAGTTAGGAGCTATCTTTGACAATGGCACATAGATTTAATCATGCAATTCGTGACATGCAGTGTCAGACAATTTTGTAAAGGGAAACACAAGGAATGGCACTTCACAAAAGCAGATGCTTCAGGCCACATTAAAGAAAATGCAACTACTAAGTGTTTAATAGTTATTTTTTCCCCCATGTTTCTAACCATTTGGAGTTAAAAATATCCAAGCTGCAGTTCCCATCCTCTTTCCAGTGCACTTCAATGTGTCCATACCAAAACTGAGTGGTAGAACAAAGGAATACTGTGATCCAGTGGAATCATGCTCTAGTTAAACCATGTTTCTAAATCAGTATATCGGAACATCAGAAAGGGAACTAAATGTGCCACGGTAGGCCAGTGTGTCAGCTCCAGAGGCTACGTCATAACTTTCATAGGGTGCCAACAGGGCCAGACTAGCTTATTCCCTGGGCTTCGTAACTTGACTCACTTTTTCCTTCCCCATTGCCCCAAATCTAAATATGTTTCTCTCAAACTGACATTGCAAATGTGATCACGTCACACTCCTCTTTAAAATCCTTTGCTGGACAGCTCAATGCAATGTGGGTCCTGGATTGGACAAAAAAAGGACCTTAGTGGAAACACTGGTGGAATCCCAATGAAGTCTGTAGTGTAGTTAATAGTATTGTACCAACCTTGATTTCTTAGTTTGATCATTCTACCGTGGTTATGTAAGATGTTTATGTTAAGGGAAGTTCAGTGAATGAGACCTTGCTGTACTATTTTTGCAACACTTTAGTAAATCTAAAATTATCTTGAAATAAAAACTGGAAAACATCTTGTCCTGGTTCTTCATTGCCCTAAGGGTTAAGTACAAACTCTGCCTTTGCTCAGGAAGACCTGAATGACCGAACCCTTCGCCCTCACATACATACACCGCTCCAGTATCAAAATTTAGTGCAGGGGAGGAGGGTGGAGGATGGAGATGCCACTCCCATAGTCAATCTACTCTCTGATCCTGCTCCAAAGAACTACTTTCAGTTACACGAAGAGGCTGTTCTCTCTAGTCTCTGAACAAATGGATCCTTGCTGTTCCTTGGCATAGTAGCCTCTGCAGACCCTGCCATCCCCCTCTCCCACCTTTTGCTTGGCTGAAATCTTGCTTGTATATTTCAGTTAATGTGGAAAGTTACCTTTCCTAGCATATCTTCCCTGACAGCCCCCCACTCCGCATATATACCACACCACACACACATACCACACAGCGTTGGATTAAGTGCCCCTTGTATGTGCTCCCACTACACCCTGTGTATACCTGTGATTTGTCACTTTCACACTGTATTAAAGTTCTGTCTGCCTCCCGCATTTAGTCAGTTGTTAACTCTGGATCTTCTCCTTTTATCCACACCTACCACTTTCGTACAGCAAGGCAGCCATTGAAAAGCTTGATTTCACAGGCTTAACACTTTGAAGGTTAAGTTTTCCATATGAGTAATTATTCTTATAATTTATATGCTCTGTGATATGGTGAGAATGGAGAGTTTTAGTTTTTTCCCTGATACTATGGAGTTTCTGACTGAATTGTATTTCTGCACCAATATCAACTTGTTATCAAAAGGGTACCTATATTCCTTTATTACAGGGATCACTGAGAAATGATCACCACAGACTTCCCTGGTGGTCCAGTGGGTAAGACTCTGCGCTGCCAATGCAGCGGGCTCGGTGTTCGATCCCTGGTCTGGGAACTAAGATCCGACATGCCGCCTGGTGTGGCCAAAAAAGAAGAGAGAGAAAAGGGAAGTGTCATGGCAGATTCATCGGTCTCTGGCTTGCACAACTGGATGGATGGTGGAACCATTCACTAAGGCATGGCATATTGAAAGAGGACTAGATTTAAGGGGATAGAGAGAGATTAAGAGGGGTTTTGGGGGGACCTATTGTACTTGAGGAGACTTGAGAGTTACAAATTGAGGTATCAAACATGCAGCTGAACATATAACCATGGAATGGGAGATGCAAATTTGGAAGTTGATGGCTTATGGATGATAAAAGAAATCACTTATTGGGAGAGTACAGAATGAGAAAAGAAGAGGATCCAGGGCAAGTCTTTGAAAAAAATTCAACAAATTTTTAGTCTAGTAGAGAAGGATAGGCAAGCTGCAGAGCTGTTAGAGAGAGACCAGGCAGAGATGTAGGTGGAAAGCCAGAAGAATGTGTTGTTAAACATAAAAGAGCTTGGAAGCCCAAGGGAGGAGAGTGTTTCAAGGAGAAAGTGGCCAAGAACAATGAAAGGCCAAGTAAAATAGCAGAAAACATCTTATCTTTTAGATGTGGTGACACAGATGTCATTTCCGACATGAAATAGCTATTTCGGGGAAATGATCTGGATAAAAGCCAGATTGGAGTGGGTTAAGAATTGAGTGAGAGGTGATAAAATGGAGTAGCTGGTATAGATAACTCTTTCTTTTTTGACAACTCTTTCTTTTATTTGATTTTTAATTATATAAGTAATACATAAATATATTTTCCTTTATAAAATGAAAACGTTACAGACAGGACTAAAATCCTCTTTGACCGCTGCTACCAATCCTGGTCGTCTTCCTCACCTTTCAGAGGTAACCATAGTTATTCGTTTGGTGTGTCCTTCCTGGCCTTTTTCTGGGTATTAACATATTAATGTTATAGATAATAACATAATTTAACGTAGACACATATATATACATGTGCATGTTTTACATAAACATATATTATATAGTATAACATGATGTATAGAATGAGCCACTTCATTATTTTAATAAACGCACTACCGATATTACATACTGTATCATAATTTATTTGGCATTCCTATACTGATAGTCATTTAAGTTGTTTCTATTTTTTCCCCAGTCGCTCACAATTCTGCAGAAAACTGCCTTATGTACACTCACCTTGTCAAAGAAGGCAACAAGAAGGGAATGCTCATTTAAATTTTAATAGGCACTGCTTGCACTTTTTATATTTTAATAGTTACTGTACTACCAAACTGCCCTCCCAAATGGCTGTACCAATTTTCCCTCCCACCAGCAGTGGGAGTCTCATAAGACTATTGACTACCCATTATCCCACACCAGCAACAACTCTTTCAAGATGTTCGGCTGTGGAGGGGAGGAAAACTATCCTGTGGTAGCCAGAAGGGGATGAAAGATTGAAAGAGACAGTTTTGTATGTGAGAAAGGCTTGAGCATGTTTTATTTTTTTGTTTTGTTTTGTTGTTTTTTTAAATTAATTTTTATTGGAGTATAGTTGATTTACAGTGTTGTGTTAGAGCATGTTTTAGCGTGCATGAGAAAGCTCCAGTTGAGAAGGAGAGGTTGAATATACATGAGGAGAAAGAGATGATGACATAAAATTCCCAGGAAAGCAGGGGAGGACATCATCCAAGCACAAGTAAAGGAATGGCCATCAATGAGAAGAGGCATCATTCTTCTCTTGCATTGGTTCTCTAACTGGATTGTGCATCAGAATTCCCTGGAGAGCTTGTTAAAACAGGTTTGCTGCCTCTTCCTCCACCAGAGTTTGTGATTCTGTAGATTTGGAAGTGGGGTCTACAAATCTGCATTTCCAGCAAGTTCCCAGGCACTGTTGACTCTCCTGTTCTGTTTTGGGGAATTAATTACACTTTGGGATCCACTATCCTATGTAGCAGGGGAAAAGGAAGGTAGGGTGGGTGTAGAGATGGGTAAGATACGTGTGTTTGGTCACCAGAAGATGACGGGAGTTCCTATTTAACGGCTTCTATTTCCTCTATGAAATAAAGAGTTGTGGTCAAATATTGAACGTGTGGGAGCAGGTGGGAGGTGGTGCTGGGGTAGGAGGTTAGAGGAGAGTGGAGTAAGTTGTAAAAAATGGTTGCAGAAGGCAGGTGAGTGAATTGACCAAAAATATGTAGTAAAATTCCTGGGCCATATTGAAGTCTCATTTGAGGTCTATGATCATGGATTTTACAATAGGCTCAATCTGCCCAATTGTGTGACTTTTTCCAGTAGACATGGAGAAAGTAAAACATCAGTTTTACCCAAGACTGAAGTTTTGCTACTCTAGTGTCTCAAGAAGACATCCAGCAGCTCATGCTAGAAATCTGGCATCACCATTGATTCCTCCCTCACCCTGCATAACGAATGCATCATTAATATTAATAGCTAACACTTAATATCAATCATGCTTACTATGCTCTAAGAAATGTTGTGTATATTAACTCATTTCATCTTGATACTTCCTATAACTACTATTATTATATTCATTTTATAAATGAGGACACTGAAATTATGGATTTGCCCAAATCCATGCAGCTAGGAAGTGGCAGAGCCAGGCTTCAAACCAGACATTCTAGCACCAGAGTCTAGTTCTTAGGTAGACTCTTCTGCACTGTTTCAACTTCCCAACCATCTTTTTTTTTTCAGCAGGGCCTTTGCACATGCTGTTTTTATCCTTGAACTCTCAGCTTCCATGACAGTACCTCCAGGGAGATCTTCCCCGGCTACTGTAAGTAGGCCTCCTACACTTGCACACACATTTTAAAAAAAATTCTCTATTACTGCAGATTACTTTATTCAAAAAATAGTGGTTTTCAAACAAATATCTTATATTAATGCGTATATGTGGAACTTGGAAAACGGTACAGATGAACCAGTTTGCAGGGCAGAAATAGAGACACAGATGTAGAGAACAAACGAATGGACACCAAGAGGGGAAAGTGGTGGTGGGGAGTGGTGGTAGGATGAACTGGGAGATTGGGATTGACACATATACACTAAGATGTACAAAATAGGTAACTAATAGGAACCTGATGTATAAAAATAAAATAAAATAAAATTCAAAAAAAGTAGTGGATTTCACTATTTTTTTCCTTGTTTATTTTCTCACACCCCCCCACTAAATGTAAACTTCATGAGGGCGGGGACCAAGTGCATTTTATTCAGCATTGTATACCAGTCCCTACCATAGTGACCGACACACAGTAGGTACCCAGTGGATATTTGGCAAGGGAATGAATTAATGAATTGGGGGCAGCCAAGTAGTGAGGTCAGACAGGAAGCTGAATATGCAGGTTGAGGAGCCCAAGGAAGAGATCTGGCACAGATATATAAACGCTGGGGCTGGGAATTCCCTGGTGATCCACTGGATAGGACTCCACGCTTCCACTTCAGGGGGTCCAGATTCAATCCCTTGTTAGGAAGCTAAGATTCGGCAAGCCGCAGGTGCAGCAAAAAACAAGACAAAACAAAACAAAAAATCCCCAGCCTGAGGCTATAGAGATAGTATTGTAGAGGACCCCCTGGGAATGGGTGAGATTACCTAAAGGATGAGGATAGAATGAATAAACAAGAGGTTCTAGCAGTGAGACTGAAGAAACTCTAATATTTAAAAATGGACTAAACAAGTCCCTCCCATCAGGAAATTTGCACAAGCCTGTTAGATAGCCTAATCCACCAGAGGGCAAACAGCAGAAGCAAGAAGAACTATAATCCTGCATCCTGTGGAACAAAAACCACATTCACAGAAAGACAGATAAGATGAAAAGGCAGAGGGCTATGTACCAGATGAAGGAACAAGATAAAACCCCAGAAAAACAACTAAATGAAGTGGAGATAGGCAACCTTCCAGAAAAAGAATTCAGAATAATGATGATCAAGATGATCCAGGACCTTGGAAAAACAATGGAGGCAAAGATTGAGAAGATGCAAGAAATGTTTAACAAAGACCTAGAAGAATTAAAGAACAAACACTTAGAAGAATTAAAGAACAAACAGAGATGAACAATACAATAACTGAAATAAAAAATACACTAAAAGGAATCAATAGCAGAATGACTGAGGCAGAAGAATAGATAACTGACCTGGAAGACAGAATGGTGGAATTCACTGCTGTGGAACAGAATAGAGAAAAAAGAATGAAAAGAAATGAAGACAGCCTAAGAGACCTCTGGGACAATATTAAATGCAACAACATTCGCATTATAGGGGTCCCAGAAGGAGAAGAGAGAGAGAAAGGACCCGAGAAAATATTTGAAGAGACTATAGACGAAAACTTCCCTAACATGGGAAAGGAAATAGCCACCCAAGTCCAGGAAGCACAGAGAGTCCCATACAGGATAAACCCAAGGAGAAACACACCAAGACACATAAAAATCAAATTGGCAAAAATTGAAGACAAAGAAAAATTATTGAAAGCAGCAAGGGAAAAATGACAAATAACATACAAGGGAACTCCCATAAGGTTAATAGCTGATTTCTCAGCAGAAACACTACAAGCCAGAAGGGAGTGGCATGATATACTCAAAGTGGTGAAAGGGAAGAACCTACAACCAAGATTACTGTACCCAGCAAGGATCTCATTCAGATTCCATGGAGAATTCAAGAGCTTTACAGACAAGCAAAAGTTAAGAGAATTCAGCACCACCAAATCAGCTCTACAACAAATGCTAAAGGAACTTCTTTAAGTAGCAAACACAAGAAAAGAAAAGGACCTACAAACACAAACCCATAACAACTAAGAAAATGGTAAAAGGAACATACATATCAATAATTACCTTAAATGTGAATGGATTAAATGCTCCAACCAAAAGACACAGGCTTGCTGAATGGATATAAAAACAAGACCCATATATATGCTGTCCACAGGAGACCTACTTCAGACCTAGGGACACATACAGACTGAAAGTGAGGGGATGAAAAAAGATATTCCATGCAAATGGAAATCAAAAGAAAGCTGGAGTAGCAATACTCATATCAGATAAAATAGACTTTAAAATAAAGAATGTTACAAGAGACAAGGAAGGACACTACATAATGATCAAGGGATCGATCCAAGAAGAAGATATAACATTACAATTATAAATATATATGCCCCCAACATAGGAGCACCTCAATACATAAGGCAACTGCTAACAGCTCTAAAAGAGGAAATCGACAGTAACACAATAATAGTGTGAGACTTTAACACCTCACTTACACCACTGGACAGATCATCCAAACAGAAAATTAATAAGGAAACACAAGCTTTAAATGACACAATAGACCAGATAGATTTAATTGATATTTATAGGACATTCCATCCAAAAACAGCAGATTACACTTTCTTCTCAAGTGCGCACATAACATTCTCCAGGATAGATCACATACTGGGTCACAGATCTAGCCTCAGTAAATTTAAGAAAATTGAAATCATATCAAGCATCTTTTCTGACCATAGCACTATGAGATTAGAAATCAATTACAGGGAAAAAAATGTAAAAAACACAAACACATGGAGGCTAAACAATACGTTACTAAATAACCAAGAGATCACTGAATAAATCAAAGAGGAAATCAAAAAATACCTAGAGACAAATGACAATGAAGACACGACGATCCAAAACCTATCGGATGCAGCAAAAGCAGTTCTAAGAGGGAAGTCTATAGTTATACAAGCCTACCTCAAGAAACAAGAAAAATCTCAAATCAACAATCTACCGTTACACCTAAAGGAACTAGAGAAAGAAGAACAAACAAAACCCAAAGTTAGCAGAAGGAAGGGAAGAAAGATCAGAGCAGAAATAAATGAAATAGAAACAAAGAAAACAATAGCAGATATCAATAAAACTAAAAGCTGGTTCTTTGAGAAGATAAACAAAATTGATAAACCATTAGCCAGACTCATCAAGAAAAAGAGGGAGAGGACTCAAATCAATAAAATTAGAAATGAAAAAGGAGAAGTTACAACAGACACCACAGAAACACAAAGCATCCTAAGAGACTACTACAAGCAACTCTATGCCAATAAAATGGACAACCTGGAAGAAATGGACAAATTCTTAGAAAGGTATAACCTTCCAAGACTTAACCAGGAAGAAGTAGAAAATATGAACAGACCAATCACAAGAAATGAAATTGAGGCTGTGGTTAAAAATCTTCCAACAAACAAAAGCCCAGGACCAGATGACTTCACAGGTGAATCCTATCAAACATTTAGAGAAGAGCTAACATCCATCCTTTCTCAAACTCTTCCAAAAAACTGCAGAGGAGGGAACACTCCCAAATCATTCTATGAGGCCACCATCACCCTGATACCAAGATCAGACAAAGATACTACAAAAAAAGAAAATTACAGACCAATATCACTCATGAATATAGATATAAAAATCCTCAACAAAATACTAGCAAACAGAATCCAACAGCACATTAAAAGGATCATACAGCATGATCAAGTGGGATTTATCCCACAGATGCAAGGATTCTTCAATATACAAAAATCATTCAATGTGATACACCATATTAACAAATTGAAGAACAAAAACCATATGATCATCTCAAGAGATGCAGAAAAAGCTTCTGACAAAATTCAACACCCATTTACGATAAAAAAACTCTCCAGAAAGTGGGCATAGAGGGAACCTACCTCAACGTAATAAAGGCCATATATGACAAACCCACAGCAAACATCATTCTCAATGGTGAAAAACTGAAAGCATTTCCTCTAAGATTAGGAACAAGACAAGGATGTCCACTCTCATCACTATTATTCGACATAGTTTTGGAAGTCCTAGCCATGGCAGTCAGAGAAGAAAAAGAAATAAAAGCAATACAATTGGAAAAGAAGAAGTAAAACTGTCACTGTTCGCAGATGAAGTGATACTATATAGAGAACCCTAAACATGCCACCAGAAAACTACTAGAGCTAATCAATGAATTTGGTAAAGTTGCAGGATACAGAATTAATGCACAGAAATCTCTGGCATTCCTATACACTAATGATGAAAAATCTGAAAGAGAAATTAAGGAAACACTCCCATTTACCACTGCAACAAAAAGAATAAAATATCTAGGAATAAACCTACCTAAGGAGACAAAAGACCTGTATGCAGAAAACTATAAGACACTGATGAAAGAAATTAAAGATGATACAAATAGATGGAGAGATATACCATGTTCTTGGATTAGAAGAATCAACATTGTGAAAATGACTATATTACCCAAAGCAATCTACAGATTCAATGTAATCCCTATCAAATTACCAATGGCAATTTTCACAGAACTAGAACAAAAAATCTTAAAATCTGTATGGAGACACAAAAGACCCCAAATAGCCAAAGCAGTCTTGAGGGAAAAAAACAGAGCTGGAGGAATCAGATTCCCTGACTTCAGACTATACTCCAAAGCTACAGTCATCAAGACAATATGGACAGGCACAAAAACAGAAATATAGATCAATGGAACAGGATAGAAAGCCCAGAGGTAAACCTATGCAACTATGGTCAACTAATCTATGACAAAGGAGGCAACATATACAATGGGGAAAAGACAGCCTCTTCAATAAGTGGTGCTGGGAAAACTGGACAGCTACATGGAAAAGTATGAGATTAGATCACTCCCTAACACTATACACAAAAATAAACTCAAAATGGATTAAAGACCTAAACGTAAGACCGGACACTATAAAACTCTTAGAGGAAAACATAGGAAAAACACTCTATGGTATAAATCACAGCAAGATCGTTTTTGATCCACCTTCTAGAGTAATGGAAATAAAAACAAAAATAAACAAATGGGACCTAATGAAACTTAAAAGCTTTTGCACAGCAAAGGAACCCATAAACAAGACGAAAAGACAACCCTCAGAATGGGAGAAAATATTTGCAAATGAAGCAACTGACAAAGGATTCATCTCCAAAATTTACAAGCAGCTCATGCAGCTCAACAACAAAAAAACAAACAACCCAATCCAAAAATGGACAGAAGACCTAAACAGGCCTCTGGGCCTGTTTCCTCTCCTGTAAAGTGGAGGTGATCACGGCTCCCTCACGAGGCTGCCGTGGAGCCCTCTGCATGGCCCTGGACCCTGAGGAGCCTTGGGCAGAGCCCTGACTTCTCTTCAGCCCAGTTCTGTCTGGCCCCTGAGCCTTGGAGGCCAGCCACAGCCGTCCCCAGGCCCCGTGTCTCTCAGCACATCTAGGGGCCTCCTCCCTCTCCTCTCACAGCAGCCTCTGGGCAGGACGGGCTTCTTCCTCGGAGAATGGAATCTTGGGCCGATGGCCTCCGTTAAAGTCCTGCCAAGGTCCGGCTCCCTGCCTGCCAGCTATGGAAGCTAAGGTGAGGAGGGCCAGGACTCCTGGCAATGCAGCCTCCAACTGTCCCAGGCCGGCCCTGCTCACCTTGCCTGGGGACCGCGGCCCTGGCCCCGCAGGACTCTTACCTGCAGGACTCTTACCTCATCGGCCATCTGGGTGAGATCCCACTTCATCGCATATGCGTCTTCCCCATCTGCATAGTATTTGGGCTCCACTTCGTTGATCCTGGGGGCAGCAGGTGGAGAGAAGGAGGGCAACTCAAATCGGGGGCAATTCTCCTCAGCCTTCTGGCATCACCTGCTAGTGGGGCAGGGTGTCATTGCCCCCCCAAGGACCCTTTGGGAGACATTTCCAACATGGTCTTCCCTCTGCTTTCTCCAACAGTAAGTAGCACCCAGCTCCTTTATTCCCCCCCACCCTTGGCATCCTGCCACTGCCCCTCATCCCTAACCTGGCCACCAAGGATCTGTGTCTGTGGTTTCCTGTGAACTGAAGCCCTGAATTTGGCAGTCTCCTCCCCTCCCCTCCCCGCCCTGCTCCCTGTCACTTCCTGGGCATGCATGGCTGGCTCATATGGCTAACAACCGGAACCGGGAGGGGTGCTGCTGCCTGGGCCTCTGCTCTTGGTGGTCGTTACCAGGCAGCGTGGCCCCTAGCCCGAGCAGCTCAGGGGCCAAGCCTGCACTGGGAGGTATGTATGCAGACCTGGGCACCCTGCCACTGAAAAGGGAGCCGGTCTGGATGGCCCAGAATGGCCCTGCCAGCCTTAAGACCCTAGAACTGTCAACCACCAGAGGCATTTGCATCCAGGCCAAAGATCCTGCCTCAAATACCTAGCCCGGAGGCCACTGCCCTTCCCAACAGTCCCTCCTCGTCCCCCACCAAGCTGAAGCTGACGCTGTCTCAGTGGGCCCTCCATGGACAGCCCACCTCAGCCTCACTTTCCAGCAGCTTTCACCACAATGTACTGGGCAGAGCAGTTCCCTGCTAGGCTCTCTCTGTCCTGCGCTGGGCACACAGAGACTGCCACATCCCTGAGTGGACCCACCCTCATCCACTAGGACACCCAGGGCTCTAGATCCCTCCACTGCTCTTGCCACTGGCCCTTCCTGCGCAGACGTGCTCAGATTTATCCTTTCTTCTGGTCCCGCTTAGATGCTTCTGGGTGCCTGGTCACTCAGTTCTGCTCCTTGGCTTCTGTTCCTGTCCTGGGCCCTTGTCTCTGCTTCTGAACCTCTTCACCGTGCTGCCCTTCCAGCATAGCCACCAGCAGCATCAAGCAAGAAACACCAAGCGTCCTCCGGAAGCGCGACATGCCTCAAGCAGCCTGCGGCAGGCAGGTGCTCTGCCCCCAAGAGTGCTGTCCACGGCCCGCTCCCCCATCTCAGCTAGCCCTAGCCACCCTCACGCCCCTGCCTGGAAGGTAGTTCAGCCCATCTCAGCCACCTGGATAAGCCAGACCTGGGGACCATCCCACTCCATGAGAAAAATGTAGATCTACTTACTGAAAGTTGAAGGTGTTGGAATAGAGGTGCAGAGCGGCCCGGTTACTGCAGGGGAATAAGGCACTGCTGAGCTGTACAGACGAGGCCAGGCAGGGACAGCACATCCAGGTCCTGCCCCTCCTCCCAGTCCCCCTCCCCACTAAGCCCACTTCCTGATCTTCTCCAAAAGCCAAGGCAGCCAGGATCCACATCGAGGCAGTATCCCCGCTGGTGGTGGTGGGATGAATTGGGAGATTGGGATTGATATATATACACAAATATGTATAAAATAGATAACTGATAAGAACCTGCTGTATAAAAATAAATTAAATTAAATTTAAAAAACCCCCAACAAAACAGACAGTATCCCCCTACCCACCCCCCTTCCCTCGGCCCTGGCTTCCACCTCTTCCTGACATGCAGGGAGACGTATTTGGCATTGAAGTTCTCGATCATGGCTCGGCAGGCCTGGTCCATCAGCTTCTGAGCCAGGCCAAGGCGCCGGTGGGAACGCTTCACAGCCTGGTGGGAGAAAGGTGGGACCTCGGGGCGCCTCCAACTAACTTCCGCCCCCGCCCCCACCAGAGCCTGGGTGGGCCCTACGCACCAGCGAGGTGATGTGTCCATGGGGCACGTCGTCCGGGTCCTCTTCCCTAGAGCAAGAAGAAAGGAGAGGGGCTAGGCGTGAACCCCAAAGTGTGCCCGGTCCCGGGACGGGGGAGAGCCAGGACTCTCCAAACCCCAGGCAGCAGCCAAAAGACATGTGCAGTGTCAATGGAATACTGTTCAGTGCTAAAAAGAAAGGAGCTCTCAAGCCATGAAAAGACGTGGGGGGAGACTTCAATGCATATGACTAAGTGAAAGGTGGTCTGAAATGTTTACACACTGTATGATTCTAATCATATGACCTTCTGGAGAAGGCGAAAGTACGGAGACAGTAAAGAGATCAGTGGTTCCCGGGGAGAGGGGAGGGAGGGAGGGCAGTGAAACTACTCTGTTTGACACTATAGTATCGGATACTCATTATACCTTTGATGGAATGTAGAACTACTCAAAGAGTAAAACAATGTAACTATGGGTTTCTGCAATAATGTAACAGCATCGGTTCACCCATTGTAACAGATTTGCCACAAGATGTCAATGTGAGAGGAAACTGAACTAAAGGAACAGTCTGTTAATTAACAAAACGAAACAAAAAAACCCAACCCAACCCAGGCAGCATCCATCAGATGCGCGCGGTGTCGCGTGCGGTGTCGGTGTCCCTCCTCCCCCCACCCCCAGGTCAGGCACCAGGCTTGTTCCTCCGTCCTTGGTGACTCACATTTTGGCCAGGACATACCCCACAATCTTCCCATTCTCATCCTCAGCGACGTAAGAGAGCTGGGTGACAGGGAAGAAAGAGAAGGCAGAAAACAAGTTCCTGTCAGAGCTGGAGGCGCCCTTATCGGACACCTGGCCCCAGCGCCTGCCTGTCGCTGTATGCATGACAGACAGAAGCCCATCGGGCAGCGAGTTCAGTGACAGCTCCTGACCTCCAGGCCAACTGGCTTGGTTTTCCCACATCACACCCTGCCCCCTTTCCTTAACCCAGAAAAAGTGGACAGACACAGGTGGGAATACTGCCCCTACCCTGGCCCTGTTCTTCACCCCTCTTCAAGGCGCCTCCTATCCATCTCCCGCCACCCCAGCCGGAAACACTCAGGGCCTCATTGACCCATGCGCCCCCCGACTCTTCAAGAGCCTCGCCGGCTCGTCCCAAGCCGACCCAGGGTGGAATTTCCTTGGCCTGGTTTCCCTCATCCCCAAATTCAACAGCTGCCCACCTGGGGCCAGGAAAGGCCATGGGAGAAATAATATTTCATCTGGTAGTTCTCGGGCAGACACAGGAGGTTGCAGTGCTGCATGTTCATCAGGTCCTCTGGCTGCGGGAGAGGAGGGCAGTGGAATGCAGTCAGGCCGGGGGCTGCAGTGACTAAGTAGGCCTCGGTCGTTTTAGAACCCTGCTCTGTCTACTCAGCGACCCCCGCCCCCCCACAGGGCTGGGCGGGCGCTGGGACTGTCTCCGCACAGGCCTGGCCCATAGCCGCTGTGCAAAAACTGACTGTTCCAGGAATGAACGTTGAGCTCCAGGAAGCTCCCCGACGCCATCCAACGGAAACCCGACATCCGGAAAGAAGGAGTTCGCAGCCCCGGGCCTGCGCCTCTGGCTCCCCCGGCCTCCTCTTCGGGTAGATCCAGCCCCACGGGGACGTGGCCTTCACTTTTCCGCGCCGGGCGGCCGAGGGCGCCCAGGGCGGCTGGCCCGGTGATCGGCCGGGCCCCTCGGGAGCACGCGCACGCCGCCACAGGGCCCCGCTCCCACTCGGCGCGGACAGCCTCCGGCCCCGGCCCCTCACCCTCGCATTGCGGATGTTCATAACGGCGGCGGGGCTCGCGGCTCCCAGCGGGTCGTGAACGCGCAGTCAGCTGCCACCGCGATCCGAAGCGACGCCGGGGCTGCCAGGCCGGGGCTGGGGCTGGGGCTGGGGCTGGAGGCTCAGCTGCTGAGTTCGGGATTATTTCTGAGCATCTTACTCTGGCTCCATGAGTGGTCTGCCCTCTCCCAGGCCTGCCAACCCACACAGACAAGTCACCCAGGTGCCTGCGCACCTGGGGGGCCACCAGTCCCCGTCACCATAGTTCATCCCGCGGGCCAATGGCCGGGCGGGCCCCGGCGCGGGGCGGGCCTGTGGCAGGGTGGGAGGGTCCAGCGCGCGGGGCAGGTCACTGGCTGGGCGAGCAGGTGCTCTCCAGCCAAAGGCGGTGGTTGGTCCCCCACCCGACACCCCACAGACGCTCACACACACGGGCAGTGGAGCAGGCTTGGCTTTATTCTGCGCCTCGGCGGGCGGGGTCGGCGGGCGGAGACCGGGCGCTGAGGGCCGGGGCCGCGGCCGGGGCCGGGGCGTGGCGGCTCAGCAGGTCACTCAGCATCTCCTCGCACATGGCGAGGCACCGCGGCACGTGGAAGCAGCCTGCGAGGAGAGGCGGGGCGGCGGGGGGGGAGGGCCGTGGGCAGCCGAGTGCCTCGAGTCCCTGGGCCCCGCCCTTTCCCCCCACTCACCTTTGAAAGGACCCCCCTTGATGGTGAGGGCGATCTTCCCTTCTCGGTTCAGGTAGCCAAACCATTCCCCGTACTCGGGATCGCGAAACTGCAATAACAATGAGGCAGAGACAGGCAGCGCCTGCAGGAACCGCCCAGATGCCACAGGCCTGGGAAAGGGGCGTTCACCGGTCCCACTAAACCGCTACCTCGGGGTCAGAGCCCGGGCTGACCCCCGGCTCCAGAATCAGTGCTCTTAAATGAGGTCCCGCCTCCTGGACAAATATGAAAGCAAGGGGCTTTTCCTTTTCCTTTTTCTTCGGGGGGGGGGTGGAGTTTTGAGTCTGCAGCTAGTTACCCCACTTGGGGAAGGGGCCGCGGGCTGTGAGATGAAACCTTGCAAGATGGAATTTAAAACAAAAACAAAAACCCTGCTTGGGACCACTGAGCTTGCGCTCTAGAGCCCGTGCGCCACAAATACCGAAGCCCGCGCACCTAGAGCCCGGTGCTCCGCAACAAGAGAAGCTACCAACCGCAGTGAGAAGCCCGCGCGCAGCAATGAAAACCCAGCGCAGCCAAAAGTAAATAAATGTAATTTTTAAAAAACAATGTGAAAAGAAACGGAACCCTGAGGAAGTGCTGACCTGCCATGTAACTTTGTAGCTAGTTATTCCTTTGGAGCTCCTGTTCCCTGCTTCAGAGGACTGTCTTGCAGTGGATGAGATTGTAGATAGCCATTGTAGATATCCCGTACAGAGGTCTGACTTCTCCCTTGCTCACCACAGGTCCCAAACACATCTCCCCCTCCCTCGGAGCCACCTGAAGCCTGCCCCTGCCCAGCAGCTCTGTTGACCCTTTCCAAATTCCTTGCTTCTCTCCTGCCCAGTTCCTTCCAGATGCTCCAGGATAGACCTCAGAGCCCTGGCCTAGGCCCTTCCTCCCCAGATAGAGACCTGAGTGGAACCAGTTCTCAGAAGGACCATAGAAGAGATCAGTGACATTGAAGTGCACTACCAAAAATTTCTTTTTAAATGGGGATCTATGAGTAGGTGTATTCTTCATAGGGGGGAAAACTAGTTCTGTATCTGTTCATTCTATCTTTCCAGTGACATTACCCATGTCCTTACTTATTATTCGACTACTGGATATGACACGGGAAGATAACAAAGGATTTGACGGTTTTCCTGTCCAGCCTTTCCATGCTTTCTGTATTGTTATGACGATCAGTGCATAGTGAATTACCTGTTGTTTATAACTTTTGTGATTGTTCAATACAATCTCTCTTTCTTGAAAATGTATTCCTTAAATTTCACTTTATGCAGTTAAGAGCGATCACCTCGAACACATGTTCTCTATGAATGCATTCAACATTAACATATATCACCTCTGGTCTTGTGGCTCCTGTGTTTGGAAGCAGTGACGAGCGTGTGCAGTACCTGGAGATGCCTCTCTAACCACAGCATAACACGAACACATTTGGAATTTCTACTGGTGACAAAGTCGGACACTGCTAATACTGTGGTTCACTGCTTTCATTCATGATGGACGTGAATGCTGGATTTCAGTTAGAGGTTAGTGCAAATAAAGATAGAATTTTCTCTCAGGTTTCAAAGCCCACAGACCTCAAAATAAGACCCCCCTGTTGTAATGCCTCCCGTACTGGGGTTTACTAATAGAGTGAATCGTGGCTTTAGAAACACATCGGGAATCTTCCTTCATTCCCTATCAGGCTCAGCACCCAAGGTGCCCGTCGGCAGCAGCTGGTACAGCTCATCACTCTGCTCACAGCACTCGGGCCTCTGCAGGGCGGGGGCGGCTGGCTTCCTTCCTACCTCGCAGCTGATTCTCGTCTCCTTTGCTGGGCCTGCCTATTCCCTCTTCTCCTTTCCTTCTGTACTCCAAGCTTACCTTGCCTCACGTGGCCAGCCCACACCTCTCCCACTCAACCACACTCTGACCCCTGAGCCGCTGCAGCTCCCACCCCGGCCAGGCCCCCACTCACTAGCCAGGATGACAGCCACAGCCTGGTCTCCCTGCCTTCGCCTAGTGCCCTATGGCCTCCCCTCCTGAAGCCCCAGCTTTTTTCCTTCCCACTAGCCCCCCAGTCCCCTGACCTTGCTTTATTTCCCAGAGCTCTCATCACCATCTGTTTGCTGGTTTACTTGTTTATGGTCGATCCCACCAGCACCAAATGTGCGCTCCAGTGGAGCAGGGGCCACTCTCTTGACTGAACAGAGGGCGCCAGGGCCGGGACTTCCAGGAACTCTCAGACCTACTGAGGGAACACGTCTGGTGAGGGCGGGAAGGAGGGGGTGTGCCGCGCCTGCGGTCTCCTCCACGGCGCCGCTGAGACCAGGACGCAGCACTTACCTGGCGGAAAGTGTACTCGGCCACCTGGTGGAAGATGTTCAGCAAGGCGGAGTCCCCGCTCTCACTGTAGCCCATGAGGAAGGCGATGATGGCTTCGCTGTGCGGCCACCAGAGCTTCATGGCCCACTCCAGCTGAGAGCAGAGCGGAGGCAGGCATCTGAGAGCCCTGGACCCCACTCCACCACCCCTCTCAGCAGGAGAGTCACCCCCATCTTTCAGGCCCTGGCTCAGACTCCATCTGGCCCAAGCTCTTGGAGCTTAACCACGAGACGAACGTCTCTCGGGGCCTTAACCGCCCATCAGATCGCAACTAGCTTCCTGAGCCAGATGTAGCCCAAGTAGCCCCTCCCAAAGGGCAGGGCTGGGGTGGGTGCCCCTTGAGCCCTGGAATCGAAACCCCAGCTGCTCCCACTGCTGATGCCTTAGGGTCACTCAGAGAGCCTTTCCAAGATGAAGGGCCATGTGTCTCTGTGTGGGCATGGCTTGCCCTCCCTCACGGCCTCCCTGTGCATGTGAGCTTGAGGGCCACCGGCACAGGAGTCGAGCTTCCCACTGGGGTCACACTGGGCAGGTTCACTCCTCCGAGCCCCAGGTCCCCATCTCTGAAATGGGTGATGACAGCACGCACCTCCCTGGGCAGAAAGCCTTCAACAGGCTAGTACCATGTAGCCCTGTGTACATTCCCACCTGGGTGGGGCATAGGCCATCAGCACCCTGGAAGTAGAAGAGACCTCCATGGTCAGGATCCCATCCAGAGCGGAAAGGCAACAATAGGAACTTGTCGATAACGTGGGCTCGAAGTTTGGGGTCACCTCTCCGGATGGCGTGACGGAGCAGGAACCAGCCAGCTTCCAGCACGTGGCCTGGTGAGGGCTCGGGTAAGGCAGGCCGCGTGTCCTCCCCCAGGCGGGGGGCTCAAGCGCTGTGCTGACCGCTGACTCCCTTCCTCTCTGCCCCACTGTGGGGCCTGCTTTGAGCCCCCCAGGCCTGCTGGTCTGCCCCAGAGTCACCCTCCTGCTGCTGACACGCCAGCGTGGGAGGCCCGTCCTTCCTCCCCTGCCTGGTCCTTGGTGCGCTGAGGGCGGAGGGAGGAGGGCACTCCCCGCATCTGGAGTCCAGAGCCAAGGCTGAGCGCCCCCCTCCTCCCGGGCCGCCCCCCAGCCCACCCTGCCCCTCACCTGGGTTCTGGTGTCTCCCCAAGCAGCCAGAAAGCCCCTCGCCATCCTGACACGTTCTCCAGCACAGCCTGCCCACCCCTCTGCCGAGGGAGGAGTAGAAGGTAGCTTGGCCTTCAGCACCCCCTGACCCCCGCCCCATCATCCAACAAGAAAGACGCGCCCTCCCACCCCCCCTCCCTCCTGATCTGCAGGCTTGGGTGGCCTCGCTCAGCGGGGCTTTGGAGGAGGAGCCGATTCACTCCCAAAGGTCTGGACCTGTCCTAACCCTTGCTTTGGGCCTGGGCCCCTGATGTGGGGAGGGTAAGGCACTGAGCGGAGGCTGAGACCGGGGGGACTGGGCTGTGCAGAGGCCTGGGACGAAGTTGAGTCTGGCCAGGCTTCCTGCTCCCTGACGTGCCTGGGGCTCTGGCACCCACCCCGGCTCCCCCGGGACCCTCCTTCCCTTCCCGAGGGTTCTGGGCCGCACCTCGCCCCATCTCCCCCATCTGTAAAGGGAGCCATCGGGGCCCGGCTCCGGGGGCGGGTGCGGGCGGAGGAGGCGCCCCGGGGGTGGGGCGTAGGGGGTCGCCCTGCCCCCCAAGCTCCCCAGGCCCTGTCTGGCGGCCGCCGTCCGCCTGCTGCCCTGCCCCCACCTGCACGTGCCGCAGAATCCTCCGAGCGCACCAGTCCCCCAGCTCCGCGTAGCTGCCCGCCAGCTCGTCGTCGGCCTCCCCGAGCTGCTCCACCAGGCTGAGCAGCATCATGGGCACCGCCATGGACTCCGCGGCCGGGGCCCCAGGGAGCTGGGGCCGGC